GAGCCACCGCACCCGGCCGGTACCAGTAAGTTTTAAATAAAGGTTATGTTTATTAAAATTTATCTCAGGTAACAGTTTTCTATTTTTTTAATTTCATTACATAATTATTGCTCTTTTAAGCTTTTTGCTTTGAATTTTTATGCATTAAGGAGACAGAGCAGTGATTTTCAGAAGCAAAGACCCATGCAACCATCACACAGGTGAAGAAATAGAACAATTGCTGCACCTCCAGTCCTACTTTTTCTGCCTGCCAGCCATTACCTCCTTTCTATCAGTTTCCCATGGATGATATTATTCCTGATATTTGTGGGAATTACTTCCTTGCTTTTCATTATAGTTTTAACATTAAATAATGTATCTTTATATGCAAAATATTAGTTTAGCCTGATTTTTAAATTAATGTACATAATATTCATATTACACACATTCCTCTGTGCATGGTGTCCTTTTCTGAATGTATGTTTGTAAGTTTCCTTAATGTTCTTATGTGGTTCATTAATTTTCATTCCTATATCGTATTCCATCATATAGAAATACTACAGAATATTTATTCATTGTGTTGTTGATGGACATTCATGCTGTTTCTAGGTTTGAACCAATATAAATAATGCTGCCATAAACATTCTTTTAAATGTTTTTAGCCAAATATATACATATATTTCTCTTGAATATATACTTACCAATGGAATTTCTTAGTCATATTGCATGCAATCTTTCAACTTTAGTAGATACTGCCAGATGGTATTCCAAAGTAAATATACTAATTTCACTTCATTCCTTAGTGTATAAGAGTTTCCATTGTTTCATCTTTACCAAAGATTAGTATAATCAGTTCTTTTAATTGTAGCCATTCTGGTGAGAGTTTGGTTTACATTGTCTTGTTGAATAATATGATTGTGTCATGTGGCTTAATAGCCATGTGCATATTATTGTCTATAAATTTCCTCTTCATATGTGTATTTTTCTATTGTGTTGATTTTTAAAATTGTTAATATTCACAAGTTAGGTACACTGGATTAAGAGCCTCCCACCAGTTAAATATGCTGCAAAGGTCTTCTCCCTTTCTATGATTTGCTTTTTCAGTTTCTTAATGAGATTTCTCTGATGTTCCTAATTTTAATTTTAATCATTATGTCACCTCTTTATGTTTATATCCTTCTACTTGCCTTTGGTTTTTGTGAGTGATGTGAGGTAGAAGTCAAATTCTAGATATCCAGTTGTTATAGAATCATACTGGACAATTCTCTCCTTTGCCCAAGGTTCTTTAATGTCATATTTACTACAAATTAAATTTCTATATGTGTCTGGGTCTTTTAGGAGCCAACTATTCTATTTAATTGGTTTATTAGTCTCTTCTTATCACTTATAACACTATTTTAAATACGGCTACTTTTTAAATATTCTTAATCTCTATTAAAACAAGTTTTTCTACCACATGTTATTCAAAGGCCTCTTGACTTTGCCTTCTTTCATGTAAATTTTAGAATTACTTTGCCAAGTTAACAAAAACAATTGTTTAGATTTTAGTTAGAATTGCATTCCATCTATTGTTAAGTAAATTTTTAAAGAATTGGC